TGTGTCACGCGCTCGTAGGCAGGGGTGAACTGGTGAACACCCCCGTCCTGGAGTGCACATCCTGCCACCAAGTTCGTTGAGAACGAGGGGAGGTGGAGACCTGACAGTGTGCCTGACAGGACCGCAGGGCAGGGAAGGATAGTGGAAGAGGTCGCAATGATCGGACCCCCAGAGGGGTCAGCAAGGGAGACAGCAACTGGCCGAGCAAGTGGCTCAAGGGCAGTGCGGTCACGAAAGAAGCGGCGAGAAGCACCTGAGTCCAGTGTGAAGGTGTGCAGTGCGGCAGTCGACGCAGTACCAAGGGGGGGAGACACACGAGCACCTAGAGCAGCAGCCTCACCAGCATCTGGGGTAGCCGACACGCGAGTACCTGGAGCGGCAGACGTACTGGCCCTAATGCCCGGGTCGGGCGGCACACACAAGTACTCAGCACCCTCTCCACTAGTAGACATCACATACATGGCAGATAGAATAGCATCAAAGTCTAGAGCATAGATATCAATCCCCTTGTTCTGGAGATCAAGCCAGCGGGGCAGCTCAGTGGCCTGAGGGAACTGAACATGCCAAGCGTCGTCGAGACGAGAGAAGCAGCGCTGTGTGGCGTGCGGTCGTCCACACTGCTGACCAGTGCGGTCACCAGTGCGAATGACGTACGTGCAGCTAAGACCACCCCCACCCCCGTGCTGAGAGTACCACTCACGGACCTCCTGGGGCGAGGGAGTGTGCTGCTGGCCCTGGCCACCGCCAGTGCCTCCACGGCCACCACCACCGCTGCCACCTCCTCGACCACCCCAACCCCTGCCGCCGCCTCGTCCACCGCCACCCCAACCGCCGCCTCCACTCCTGCCACCTCCCCCGCCGCTGCCGCCACCACCCCCACCGCTACCACTCGCCCCTCCAGCCGAGCCACCACCCCCACTGCCTCCACCGCCCCCACCGCCGCCTACCCCGCCGTCACCGCCACCACCCTTGCCCCCTTTGCCCTTGCCGCTGCGGCGTCCGCTCGAGGCAGACGCAGCGCCAACCTTCTCAGTACCAAGAAGGTCGACAGCAGCAGCAGAGGCGACAGAGGGAAGAAGGGGGGAAGGAGAACACCCCTCAAAGAACGGGGTACGGGGGTCGCCACGAGAGGCACCTACAGCGACTATGCTAGTCTCAGCTGCAAGTAGCTCCTTCTCGAGGAGGGCAATGGTGAGCTCAGTGGGGCAACGAGCTAGGAGGTGGTCCCTGACAGCACGCAGTGTGTCAAGGAGGCGGGTGACTAGGTGGTAGAGAGTGAGCCAGAGTGGAGGGGGGTGCGTGGCAAGGAACTCAGCAGGCATGGCGGCACGGAAGCGGGCCTCACTAGTACGGAGGTGCGTGATGAGGTCAGCGACTGTGTGAAAGGAGGCCAGGTCGGGAAACAGGTAGGGGAGGGAGAGACGGCCTAGTGCGGTAGAGGCAGGTGAGGAGTAGCGAGCAACTACAGCTGTGTACAGTGCCTGTGCAGTCTTGTGCTGACCAAAGTGCTCGCGTTCGTCTATCGGCAGGGAGTTGCGAATGGCGAAGCGAGCGTGGGCATCACGAGTCTGCCACTGTGAGCGAGAAGTGCTGTCAGCAGTAGCAGCAGGGGCAGTGACATGGCCTAGGGCGTGATCGTACAGTGAGATGTCATCCTTGGCTGTGAGCTGTAGGTAGAGGTGCAGGTCATCGAGCCAGGTGTCAAACTTCACAGGGCAGCCCTCAGCATCGAACACGAGAACCTGTGGGCTAGCCATAGGAACAGTAGAAATAGCAGCAGTAGCAGTAGGAGAAGCAGGTAGGACGAACCAGGTAGGGCATGGCGGCGCGGCTCGGTTCAGGTCGGGTCGCGGCTCGGCTGGGTGGCGCGGCTCGGCTCGGGGCGCGCGGCTCGGCTCGGGGCGCGCGGCTCGAGTCACGGCGGGGACGGGCCGCCCGCTCTCCCTCGTGTGCTGCGGCGGGAACGGGCCGCCCGGGGCCTCTAGGTGGTGGGCACGGGTCGGCGAGGTCGGCACGGGGCCGGTTGGGGCCCTAGAGGGGCTAGCGCGGGGCCGATCGGGGCCTGAGCGGGGCTAGCGCGGGGCCAAACGGGGCCTTGACGGGGCTAGCAAGGGGCCGACGGGGCCTGAACGGGGCTAGCGCGGGGCCGACGGGGCCTGAAACGGGGCCGACGGGGCCTGAAACGGAGCTAGCGCGGGCCCGATCGGGGCCTGAATGGGGCTAGCGTGGGGCCGACGGGGCCTGAGAGGGGCTAGCGCGGGGCCGACGGGGCCTGAAAAGGGGCTAGCGCGGGCCGACGGGGCCTGAGAGGGGCTAGCGCGGGGCCGACGGGGCCTGAAACGGGGCCAACGGGGCCTGAAACGGGGCTGGCGCGGGCCGACGGGGCCTGAGAGGGGCTAGCGCGGGGCCGACGGGGCCTGAAACGGGGCCGACGGGGCCTGAAACGGGGCCGACGGGGCCTGAAACGGGGCTAGCGCGGGCCGACGGGGCCTGAGAGGGGCTAGCGCGGGGCCGATGGGGCCTGAAACGGGGTCGACGGGGCATGAACGGGGCTAGCGCGGGGCCTGAACGGGGCCTTAAAGGGGCCGACAGGGCCCTAAAGGGGCCGACGGGGCCTGAACGGGGCCGCTAGGGAGAGCAGGCGTGGGGCCGACGGGGCCTGAACGGGGCTAGCGCGGGGCCGTCAAGAGGGGCCTCTAGGGGCGTGACACGCCGAGGCGCCCTAGGGCACAGGTGGGTAGGTAGGTAGGTAGTTACGTAGTGGTGGGCCCTTAGAAAATTTCGGTCCTAGGAAGGACCTGCTCTATACCATGTTGAAATCACTGAACAGGAATGAATGAACTAGCAGTGAAAATGAGTACAAGTACCTAACCCTAGAATTGTGTACCCCCTATAGGCTAACCCACTGTAGCCTAAACTAACACAACATATATAATGTTTGACAGTGGCATCGTGTTCCACTTGCCACCTCATGAAATCATCACGGCAGCGGCCGGCAGGACAGTTGCAGCCGATCCCACCCCCAGAGCGTGCTTGGCAGCAGGTGACGATGGACTTCGTTACGGGGTTACCGACCGGAGCGAGTGGGAACGACGCGATCCTGGTCGTCGTCGATCGAATGACGAAAATGGCACATTTCGCAGCCTGCAAGAAATCAATCATAGCCGAAGAAACAGCCCGCCTCTTCATCGCCACCATCGTCCGATTACACGGGATACCAGCAGCGATCATCAGCGACAGCGACACGAAATTCACCAGCAATTTCTGGCGGAACCTGTGGCAGCAGTTCGGCACGCGACTGCAGTTCAGTTCATCAAACCACCCCGAAACCGACGGACAGACAGAACGGACAAATCAGACCATGGAACAGCTCATCAGGGCCACGTGCGACGACCCGACCACGTGGGAACAGCAACTGCCACTCATCGAATTCGCGTACAACAACTCACCATCCGCCACGACCCAACAGTCACCATTTTACCTAAACTACGGACAAGACCCAAGAGTACCCATGACCCCGAATCCCGACAACCCAGTGCCACGAGCACAACAGTTTGCCGAAATATTAAAAGCAGCACGGACCCGGGCAGCAGACGCAATAAAAATTTCCAACATCATCGCTAAACGTAACACTGACCGCCACTGCAGACCCGTCACTTACCAACCCGACGACCTAGTTTTACTTGACACTCAGAACCTCCGACTGCCCATCACCCGAAAACTCCGCCCCCGATACTGCGGGCCATTTTGCATAAGCCACATGATTACACCCGTCACCGCCCACCTCCTCCTCCCTGCTGACTGGTACGTCAACCCCTCGTTCCACGTCAGCTTGCTTCGCCCCTACGTCCCATCCACAAGCTAGCTCCCACGTTATCGCCTAGCCAGCATGACACGACCACTGACTGAACGAGTCATCACGCCCGAGAAGATTCTGAGTCACAGAGTTCGCGACCCTCGCGGGGCACGAAGGATCGAGTTCCTGATCCGCTGGAAGGACCGTACACCCACCGAAGACAACTGGGTTCCCCTGGACAGAATCAAAAACCACCCCGTCCTCACCGAGTATCTGCGCAGCCGAAACTTCAGGGATGTACACGCACTTTCGTAAGGAGGACCTCCTTAGGGGGGGGGGGGGGGGTAGTGTAAGGAAAATTCCTTTTCCTTACTTTGCGTCCCCGCTCAGCGCGTACACCACTGTAGCACTACAGTCAGCACCGTTACCACTCGCAACCCTCGCATCGACAATCCTCCCGCCATCTTCGCACGTCGCACCCTGACCTCACGGCTCGGCAGGTAACCCGCGCTCCGGGCCTCCGCTTCGACATTTTCCTCAACCTCAGTCCCAGGCCCGTCGCGCGACAACCATAGCCCATTACCGTTACCACTGTAGTTTCGCTATATATTCTTCGCTCATGCCTTCGCTCCTTGTACTCTTGCTTCGATAGTGCAATTCTCGTTCGTTCACTCAATTGCACTCGTAACATGTTGTAACTTCTGACGAAGTACATCCAGAGTATCATCCCTCAGGTCGGGTAGCCACCGCCGTGAACCTTAGATTAAGCCTTTTTTAACCCATACTACCGTTTTCAACCTTCCTAGAAGTACGGATTTCGGATTGCTGCTGGATGTATCCTCACCTTGGAATCATATGTCCTGCTGGCCAGTTTGCCTTCAGTCTGTTCGTGTCTACCTGCTGAAGTGGATTGCATTCCTTGCTTTCATTTCAGCCAACAAGACGAGTCGCTCGCTACTCGGGACAACCTTGACGTTACACCCGTTCGCGCATCCTTGTTGTCATCCGCTTGGGGGCACAAGTGACCACACCAAGCGGAACCTGAGGAGGTTGTCTCTCCATTTCTCCCTCAGCGTTCTCCAGCGAACCGACGGTTTCATTCAAAATACAAGTCTGCTCGAAATATTTCTAGCGTGTTGACTTGCTCGTGACTGTGGCGTAACTTTGCCGCTGCCACCAACCCACCAATCCACTTGAAGCTAACATGGCGGCCGCTCAGGCCTTCCGAGCGCGGGATCTGTTTGTGGCCGGCAAGTGGACGGCTCCTTTCAAGGATGGCCGCCTGCCAGTCGTCAATCCCTCCACGGAGGAAACTATCGGTACGCGAGCGTGTGTACGCCTTCGAGTTTCTTTGTTTGTTTTTTTTCCGAAAAAAAATCATTCCGCGCGACGAGGCCCTTCCTCCGATCGCGTCGACACCATATCGCTTTTCAAGTGAGTCCACGCGGCGTACGCGGCAGCATCGCCACGAATCCATCACGCCCTTCACGCCGCATGCCATATATTCCCGTTCGCGGCACGACGCGAGCGGTCTCAATAAGTCCCGCACTGTTGCGCGAAGCGCGTTCATCAGCAGACCTGAACGCACTCTGTTTTCCTTTTCCGACTCTTTCCCTCCCGCGCGCTGCTGGCAGGCACAATCCCCGCGGCGACGGCGGAGGACGTGGACGTGGCGGTGCAGGCGGCAAGGGGCGCGTTCCAGCGTAACGGCGGGGCGGACTGGCCGAAGACGACCGGCAGCTACCGCGCCAAGTTCCTAAAGGCCATCGCCGCTCAGGTGCGCGCTCGGCGGACGAGGGGGTGGGTGGGTGCAAAAGGGCAGAGCACGTGATGACGAAAATACGAATCCAACAGAAAGTTAAAGGTATACTTTTGAATCTCTTCCCAACAACTTTTACAGTGCTCTTTGCTGATGGATAGTCTTTTATATTCTGACGTTGCCATGGGGGAGCGCACGTATGGCGTGAGCAGGTGGTGGAGCGCAAGGACGAGCTGGCGCGCATGGAGGCCATGGACTGCGGCAAGCCACTGGACGAGGCCGCCTGGGACATGGTGCGTGCCGCCCTGCCCTGCCACAGCATCTGGCGATTTTTGTGGGATGGCATGGGGAGTGCTTCAGTTGACTTTGACTTCCCCTGCTCGTCCGCTTCCTCCTCTCAATTGCGTCGTGGCCGTCCATTCCTCCATCATCCGTCTCCCCTGGCCTCGCCTTCCCTCCCTCCCTTCTCGCTGACGGCCATGCTTCACGCCTGCTCCCCCACCCCGTGCACTCCCGCGCGCCACGCACCCCCTCAGGATGACGTGGCGGGGTGTTTTGAGTACTACGCGGGGCTGGCGGAGCAGCTGGACGCGGAGCAGGGTGCGCCGCTGCAGCTGCCCATGGAGCAGTTTGCATGCCGCATCCGCAAGGAGCCCATCGGCGTCGTGGGGCTCATCACACCCTGGTGAGCGCTGCATTCATGGGGACTGCTCAACTGTTCACCACTGCCACCGGTGCTTCGCATGCTTGCTGCCGCCTGAGCTCTTCATTACTGCTGACTCCCAGTGGTTGGTGGTTTTGCCATGCAATGTCCTGGCCTTCGCATTGGGGTGGCATGATCGTCTCTTCATGGCATGGCATGGCATGGCAGGAACTACCCGATGCTGATGGCGGCGTGGAAGGTGGCCCCAGCACTGGCAGCGGGCTGCACTGTCGTGCTCAAGCCCTCCGAACTCGCCTCACTGTATGCCTCCCTCCCCTCCCTCCCTCCCCTCCCTCCCTTTCCTCCCTCACCTTCCTCCCTCCCCTCCCTCCCCTCCCTCCCTCCCTCCCTCCCTCCCTCCCTCCCTCTCTCCCTCCCTCCCTCCCTCCCCCCCTCCCTCCCTCCCTCCCTCCCCCCCTCCCTCCCTCCCTCCCCCCCTCTCTCCCTCCCTCCCTCCCTCCCTCCCTCCCTCCCTCCCTCCCTCCCTCCCTCCCTCCCTCCCTCCCTCCCTCCCTCCCTCCCTCACTCCCTCCCTCCATCCCTCCCTCCCTCCCTCCCTCACTCCCTCCCTCCCTCCCTCCCTCCCTCCCTCCCTCCCTCCCTCCCTCCCTCCCTCCCTCCCTCCCTCCCTCCCTCCCTCCCTCCCTCCCTCCCTCCCCCGCTCCCTCCCTCCCCCGCCCCCTCCGCACTTCCCGCTTCACCTGCTCGCGCTTGTCAGTGCGCCCTCACACTGCACCCTCTGGCTTCACCCTCTCGCGTCACCCACATGCTTCATGTTTGCTGTGTAATCTCCCTTCACATTCTCGTCCCAATCAGCCTGCACTTGCGCCACTGCTTTTCTTGTCCCAGCCATCAATCAGCACTACATTTCGTAACGTCTGTGTCACTCGCAACGACTATATCTGTGGCCACCACGGCCTTCCCCAGCCTGTCTGCCTTCCCTTTCCTCCTTCCCCATCTCATTTGACCGTTTTTACCATCCTCCCTCCTTCCCCTCAACCCCCTCCCCCGCCCCTCAGCACGTGTCTGGAGCTGGGAGCGATAGCGGAGGCGGTGCAGCTGCCAGCGGGGGTGCTGAACGTGCTCACGGGGCTGGGCGCGGACGCCGGCGCTGCCCTCACCGCACACAAGGGGCTCGATAAGGTGCGCACCGCCACTTGTTGCCACTCGGGCTGCAAGGCACATCATGGTGATAGAGAGGGGTTGGGGAGGACCAGGGAGGAAGAGGGGTGTTTGAGATGCGCGGGGAAAGGAGGGGGTTGTTGGTGTGGGGCTGTGGTGTGGGGGGAAGGGTACCAGTGAGGCAAGCTGGTGACTGTACCCCGTTGCATAATGCATTTGCAAGCTCTGGGTGCATGTTCAAAGAAGCTGTGCATATCTGGCCTGACTGGCCTGATTCATGCTCTCTGGCACCCCTTTTCAGCCGTATCTTCATGCATCCAGTGCTGTGTCCCCTCTCCCCGCATGTTGCACCCACGCTGCCATCCATCCACTTTGGCCTGCCGCGTGACTGCTGTTCGATACCACTATTCAATTACGCTCTTCATTCCTCGAATTCCCTCTGCCTGATCGTGTGTGCATGCGCAAGCATGTGTCGAGGGTGTGGTGGTGGCTTGGCGCATATATATGTATATGCTTGTGCCTGCTCAGCCTACCTCTCAGCTGGCATCCAAGGGAAACATGAAGCAAACACCAGCGGAAACATCGCTGCAGCCTTGTGTTCAGGCTGCAAACCAGACGTTTGCAATGATTCGGCAGAAAATGAATCGCGGTGATTTAGTTTCTTGCATTTCTGACGACCTGCTGGGTGTGATCCTTCGATTTGTTGCGTCTAACGGCAACAATTTCGACATCGCATGTGTGTGGTGTGGTGGTTGCAGATTGCATTCACAGGCAGCAGTGCAACGGGGAAGCTCGTGCTGCGTGCCGCTGCTGAGAACCTCATTGTATGTGCCGCTTGTGCCACTGCATGCCACCCACCCACCCCATGCTCATTCCCTCCCTGCTATGGCTCGCCCCTTACAACTCCTAGTTGTCTTCGGAGGAAGCTTCCCCTCCTATTCTCCATGTCTATTCCCTTCCCCCCACCCTATGCTTGCTTTGCTTGTCAGACACTTAATGTCTGTTCACACATTGCCTTCTTTTCCCTCTACTTACCGTCCTGCCACCACTCCTCATGCTCTTCCTCTTGCTCCCTTGCCATGGTGTCACCACGTTGCTGTGCGGTGGTGCATGAGAGCAGCCGGTGACCATGGAGCTGGGCGGCAAGAGCGCACTGCTGGTGTTTGACGACGTGGACATCGACAAAGGTGCGCCCGCTCACACGCCCTCATGCTTCTTTGCACATGCACTGGCCCTGCTCCTGCTGCACCCTGCACGGGGGCACGCATGCATGCATGCAGGGTGGCAATGTGCGTGCTGTTTTGGACCTGGTGGTTATGTTGAAGGGTGGTGGGCGAGGCAAGGGGGTGGTAGGGGTTCTTGTGGGAGATGGGAGTGGGGAGGAGATTTGTCTTTGCCGGTTCTGCTCATCCTTCCCTTTGTTCTTCCTCTCCGTGTTCAGGCATTGAGTTCTTTCCTCACGTCCTCCTCGTTCTTTTTATTCTTCCTCCCCTATGCCCGTTCTTCCCACCTCCTCCTGATTTCCCTTGTTCTCTGCTTTCTTTCAAAATTTCTATAACCGCGCGCCAATCCACACCATGCTCCTCGTCTAACCCCCTCCCCGCGCCCCTCCCCACTGCCCCCCTCCCCACTCTTTGCCTCTCCCCGTTACCAGCGGTGGAGTGGGCCATGTTCGGGTGCTTCTGGACCAACGGCCAGATCTGCAGTGCCACCTCCCGCCTGCTGCTGCATGTGAGGGGCATGGTGGATGTGAGGGGCATGGTGGATGTGAGGGGCGTATGCATGTGAGGGGCGTATGCATGTGAGGGGCGTATGCATGTGAGGGGCGTATGCATGTGAGGGGCATGGTGCATGGGAGAGGGATGGTGGATGGGAAATGAGAGCCATACTGCACTGTGCCTGCACCACATCCCTCTCTCCACCGCACATGCTGCTTGCAGCCCTTCACCTCATTCACCCTTTCCCCACCACCCTGCCTTCACCCAGTCTCTCACCCCAATCCCCTCCCATTTTCCTAATCATTTTTGCTTTTCCTGTGCTCCCTTCATCGTCTTCCCATACAGCAGTGCCTGACCTCACATCACACCTCCATCCGTTCTTCCCCACCCGCTCCCCAACCCCCCACCCCGTTGCCACGGCAGGAGCGCATAGCGCCAGCGTTCCTAGCTCGCCTGGTGCAGTGGGCGCAGGCCATTCGAATCTCCGACCCGCTTGAACCCGGCTGCCGCCTCGGGCCCCTCGTCAGCGAGGCTCAGGTGTGAGGGCGGACAGGGTTGCCAGTGAGCGAGGGGGGGAATGCGGCACGGGTGCGAGTTAGTGAGGGAAAGAGGGAAGGGGAAAGGTTGGAGGGTGATACGGGAAAGCAATGAAAGCGGTGTGTGGGAGAATGGCTGGATGTTGGTGCTCCCTGTGCCTCTTCCGCTTGGCCTCTCATGATTGGACTTGCACCCCCCATTGCTCATTCTGTTCATACATGGCAAGCCTTCCATGAACGACTTGACCTGACCGTCCATCTTCTCCCTCTCCCCGTCCCCCCACCGCCCCCCAGTACCACAAGGTGGCAGCGTTCATAGAGGGCGCCAAGGCGGAGGGCGCTGAGGTGCTGTGCGGGGGGAAGCGGCCTCAGGTGAGGGTGGGGAGAGAGGGGAAGGGGTTGCGCGGACGGATGGGGAGGGCAGGGTGGGGGGACGGTTGGACGGAGCATCGTGGTACAGGTGAAGAGCTGTAAGCAACTGGTCCATTCCGCCCCTTGGCCCTGCTCCATGCGTCATCCACCCCCCCACACCTTGTTCCTAACACACCTCCCGCCTCCCCTTGTTCCATTCGCCCACCTCCCCTTGGCCCTCCCCACCAGCACCTGGCGCGTGGTTACTACCTGGAGCCCACGGTGCTGCGCGTGACACCGGGCATGCGCGTATGGCAGGAGGAGGTGTTTGGCCCTGTGCTCGCCATGCACACCTTCTCTGATGAACAGCACGCCATCGCCCTCGCCAATGACTCCACGTACGCTGCTGCTGCCGCCGCCACCGCTGCTGCTGTGCTCTCTTCCTTTGGATTGACCTGCTCCACATTCCTTTTTCGTCGCTGCACCTTTCCTGTACGCTTGCGACTAATCTCATCTCGTTGTGTTTCTTCCCTGTCCCTTTCTCACCCCGCGCCCTCCATGGGTGCCGGCCTCCTCTGTGCTGTTCCATGAATGCATGTGTGGGTGGGCGCACATCAGCTATGGGCTGGCGGCAGCAGTGATATCAGGCGACCAGGACAGGTGCCGCCGCGTCTCAGAGGTGAGTGCACAGCCTCACACCTTCCACGCACTGCCCCTATCCTATCCTATCTCGATGTGCACCCCGTTGCTCCTCCACGACATGCCATCCTCTCCATGCCCTGTGCCCTGTGCCCTGTGCCCTGTGGGCCGTGCCCTGTGCCCTGTGCCCTGTGGGCCGTGCCCTGTGGGCCGTGCCCTGTGCCCTGTGCCCTGTGGGCCGTGCCCTGTGCCCCATACCGTGTGTGCGGTGCGGTGCAGGCGATGGAGTGTGGCATAGTGTGGGTGAACTGCTCGCAGCCGTGCTTCTGCCAGGCGCCGTGGGGCGGCAAGAAGAGGAGCGGCTTCGGCAGGGAGCTGGGCAAGTGGTGAGTGCCCATGGGGCGTGCACTTGTTGCACGTGCTGAGTGGACATGTACATGGCTGGCTTCATATGGTAACTCATGCATGCACTGCCACCAATGCCTGCATGCACCATTCCGGGAAAGGAATGCTATGATGCTGCATGCCTCCTCATTCTCTCCACCATCCTAACCCCACCACCCCCATGTCCCCATGCTGCGACTGTGTACGTGCAGGGGACTGGACAACTACCTGTCAGTGAAGCAGGTGACGCAGTACGTATCCAGCGACCCCTGGAACTGGTACCCTGCGCCCTCCAAGCTCTGATTGCACGCACCACAACGCTGAATCCCTACTAAGCTCATGGCGGAAGTGTTACTTTTTTTTGTGCGCTAAGAAAGTGGATCTTTGATGTCTCTAATAAGCTGGACTGTAAGCTTTGGTTCGGCGTTTTCCAATAAATGTCCCAGTGATGACGAGATTGTACAGGCGGTAGTACCTGAAAACCTTAGTGTTTTTACTGGCGTCACAAAAATAATGCTGGATGCACGCAAACCCCTAGGTGTACACTCGCATCATAGCACTAAGCAGATCCATTGCGAGTACAAACCTTTGTTTCCTCCCTCTTGTGCCACCACAACCATCCCCCACCCCGCGCCGCCTCTCGATCCCCTGCATTCCCGCCGCCACCCACACCGCCAACACAGCGCCATCCTCATCTCCGTCCTTCCCGCTGCTCCGCCCGCTAGTTTCCTCGCGTTCCCATCGCGGCTGTCGCAGGCGACGTTGTCCTACCGATTCCTGCGTTGCGACCCAACGCTCCCTTTCCCGCCTCGGCTCCTCCACGCTCGTACCACTAAGAGCTGCGGATCCATCTCCCTCAATAGAACGCCTGATAGCCGCGCCGCGCCCGTTCATGTCGCGACAGGCTTATCTTCTCCGTGTTGCGTCCAGGGCCGCCACCCGATCCGTATCAAATCCGATCCGAGTAGAATCAGTATGCGGTCAGCCCCCGTCTGCCTTCCATGGCGATCCAAGTCGAAGCGCTCTGGGGATGATTGGTGTGGTTGATCGACTAAGCGGTTCTTCTAACGAGCGAATCACCAACTGCCACGTGGATGGTGGCCTCAGCCTTGCGATTAACCACCCTTTTGCAGTTTCGTCGAGCCACGCCCCTACGATTGCCCGCTTCTCTCCGCGTTCCCTCCCCCTCCAAGTGTCCCCTCTCCTCCCCCTTCTGTTCCGCGCGTTGACGTCTTCCGCCGCGCCAACCGCGCGCGGGGAAGCACCAGGGGACAGCGACTTTCGCGGAGTGGCGCAAGCGGGGGATGTACCGGAGGCGGAGGGGGAGGCGGTGGAGGAGGGGGAGGGAGATGGGGATTTGGCAGGCTCGATCCCGCGGGTTGCGCCTTTACCGGAGGACCTGACAGCCGCGCAGGTGGCAGCGCTGAGCGCGGAGGGCGGGGAGAAGGCGGAGAAGGCGGAGGCGGAGGGGGCGGAGGGGAGCATTCCGCTGCCGTGCTTCGTGAGCGAGGGGCTGGAGGGGGAGAAGCGGAAGGGGAAGAAGGGCAGCGCGGGGGCCGTAGAGCTGCTGAGTCTGGCGGACGCCATCCGGAAAGTCAAGGTGGGCCGCTCTGCCGCATCCCGCCGCATTCTGCCACCGCATCCTGCCTCGCGCTGTCCGTTGCTCTGCGCACCTCCCTCCTCCCCCCCCAAGTCCTGTTGCTCTGCGCACCTCCCTCCTCCCCCCCCAAGTCCTGCGCTCACTTTTAAGTCGTGCCCGTCACATGTCGCGTGTCTCCACTGCCGCACCGCCGCATCCGCAACCGCTCACCTTCGCTCCCCCCCCTCTTCCCGCCTCTCCTTCCTCCCTACCATCCCTCCCCAATTTCGCCCTACCCTCCCCCCCTTTCCCCCACTCCCCACGCGCCCTGCGGGTGGCGCTGGTCGCGCGTGTGTGCCGTGGCGGGGTGGGCGCGGCAGGAGGGGGCGAGGGCCAAGTTTGACGAGACGGTGGAGGTGCATGTGCGCCTGGGCATCGACCCCAAGCGCAGCGACCAGGTGCGCCGCTCCTCCATCCCCCCCTGCAAGCCCCGCTGCCACTCGCTCAGCAACGCACTGCATCTCCCAGCGTCGCGTGACATGGCTGTGATGCCTCGCCTTCGCCCTCTCTGCGTCTATCTGCTCCATTCCGTGCCTCATTGCTCGTCCCCCTCGCCCCCTCAACCTCTCCACTATTGCCGCCCTCCACACGGCGTGCCCCCTACTATCCCACACGGCATATCATGAAGTACCGTATCCTCCCCGGGCTACGCCCTCCCATCCCCTCTCCCCTCCCCCCTCTCCCCTCCCCCCTCTCCCCTGTCCCCACCCGCCTTCCCTCGCGTCCAGATGGTGCGCGGATCAGCGCAGCTCCCCAGAGGCACGGGCAAGGTCAGTGCGCTCCCTCTCCTCCTCCCAAGTCTCCCGCTCCCGCATTCGCCATCTCGCCATCTCGTTTCCTCCCCGCTTCTCCCCATCCTCACCTCCACATCTCGGGGGGTCTGCTTGCCTCTTCGCTCCTCCCCGCCCGCACTGCCGTGTCTCCTGCTCACCTGCTTGCACCGGTGCCCACTCCTCTCGTGCGCCAGTCCACAGACTACCTATGTGCCTGCAACATGCCCACCTCCGTGTACTGCCCACCCTGCCCCTCTCCCATCTACTCTCTCCCATTCCCGGCCATTCCCCTCTCCATTTCCCCTCCCTCGTTCCCCTCTCCATTTCCCCTCCCTCATTCCCCTCTCCATTTCCCCTCCCTCATTCCCCTCTCCATTTCCCCTCCCTCATTCCCCTCTCCATTTCCCCTCCCTCATTCCCCTCTCCATTTCCCCTCCCTCATTCCCCTCTCCATTTCCCCTCCCTCATTCCCCTCTCCATTTCCCCTCCCTCATTCCCCTCTCCATTTCCCCTCCCTCATTCCCCTCTCCATTTCCCCTCCCTCATTCCCCTCTCCATTTCCCCTCCCTCATTCCCCTCTCCATTTCCCCTCCCTCGTTCCCCTCTCCATTTCCCCTCCCTCATTCCCCTCTCCATTTCCCCTCCCTCATTCCCCTCTCCATTTCCCCTCCCTCATTCCCCTCTCCATTTCCCCTCCCTCATTCCCCTCTCCATTTCCCCTCCCTCATTCCCCTCTCCATTTCCCCTCCTTCATTCCCCTCTCCATTTCCCCTCCTTCATTCCCCTCTCCATTTCCCCTCCCTCGTTCCCCTCTCCATTTCCCCTCCCTCATTCCCCTCTCCATTTCCCCTCCCTCATTCCCCTCTCCATTTCCCCTCCCTCGTTCCCCTCTCCATTTCCCCTCCCTCATTCCCCTCTCCATTTCCCCTCCCTCATTCCCCTCTCCATTTCCCCTCCCTCATTCCCCTCTCCATTTCCCCTCCCTCATTCCCCTCTCCATTTCCCCTCCCTCATTCCCCTCTCCATTTCCCCTCCCTCATTCCCCTCTCCAATTCCCCTTGCCCTTTCCCCGCGCCGTGCCCCTCTGGCAGGCGGTGCGGGTGGCGGTGTTTGCGGAGGGGGAGGAGGCGGAGGCGGCAGCAGCAGCGGGGGCGGACGTGGTGGGGGGAGCAGACCTTATAGCGGAGGTCAAAGCCAGTACGTGCTGTGCTGCCAGCGGGGGGGGAGAGCTCACATACCCCCCTCGCACATGCCATGCACCGTTCGCATGGCGCAACTCCTTTCACATGATGTTTCCCGCCACCCATGCATGTCCTGTCAACCATGTTGAGATTCAATGCGCAGCCGCATACCTCACAGTCCTGTCGTGCCCTTCCGGTGCTCATCTCACTTTCTCCTTCGGGATGCCATGCTGCCATGCTGGCATGTTTCCTGGCGTTGCAATGGCAGGTGGTGGCAAGCTGAGTTTTGACAAGTGCATAGCAACGCCCGCGCTCATGCCCAAGCTGGGTCAGGTGCGCCCTACCTCACGCATGCATGAAATTCGTATCACTCACGCACCTCCCTGCTAGCACCTACGTCTGGCACGCTCTCCTATATTCTTGCACAGATGCACTTAGCACCAGTTATAACTAAATGTGTATTTCTCCTCTTCCTCCCCCCACGACCACTATGTCGTTTCCCCTCAGATAGCGCGCATCCTTGGTCCACGTGGCCTCATGCCCAACCCCAAGGTATGCTGCCGCCAAGCTAAGTTGCAATAAACGCTCAGGCCTGTTTGCGTTTAGCGGATATCCGCTTGCGTATACACGCAACACGCTATACGCAAGCGAATCCGCTATACGCTCGGCAAATTTGTTTTGGGGCAGCCCGGGCGGAAAAAAAATCGAACATACGGAAAAATGCAGAATTTCACGACGTGCGTTTTGCCGAAGGCGAATTGCACGAACGTGACTTGTCCAATCGTGGACGTGGGTTCAACCCACGTAGTCGAGATTGGTTGTGTCAATTTGTCAAGTCGCGTTTTCACGTACACACTTTGTGCGCTCTGTTTGTTACCGCATTGAATCCCCTACAAGCTAATGCAACTGCCCTACAAGGCGATGCGGCAGACTGACGCAAATGCCAATGGGATGATGGGCCGGCTCTACGATGTAATGCTGCAGCGCAGCTTACCGGGGATGTCAACAACATCTGGACGAGGATGAGCAGCAGCTGAGTAGCGCGGACAAGGAAAAGATCCGCAGCATCATCAAGGACCGCTGGGATAACAACCTCGCCTGCGCCATGCACGTTGCTGGCCGAATCCTCAACCCCGCTAACCAGGAGGAGGATATATTTGGCAGCGACGCCGAATGCACCCGGATTTTCAAGGCGCTAATCAACCAGCACGTGGAGTTCCTCATCGGCCACGACGGGAAGGGGAGGGATGAGGGTCCATATTACTTGCTTGCCTTGGGTGACGGGCTGAGGGCTTTCTTGGACATGAAAGGCAGTATTGGGATGCCGGAGGCGTTTGCACAGAGGGAGAAGGTGAAGGCGGGTAAGTACAGCATGGTGAAGTGGTGGCAGTGGAACGGCACAGATGCACCTCACCTGATGCGCTTCGCCGAGAGGGTGCTATCTCAGCCTGTATCGGCATCCCCTTGTGAGCGTGGGTGGGGAACTTGGGATGCTGTCCACACAGCCCGCCGGAACCGCCTCGGATCTGCAAAGTGCCAGGACCTGGTTTTTGTTGCGCACAACTGGAATGTTGTGCGCAACTGACACTCGCGCGCAGATGTAGTGCCGAAGGTTGTGCCAGGGATTGGGGACGATCCTCCTATTCCCGAGGGGTACAACGGGTTGGATGAGACAGAGGTGGAGGAGGAGGAAGGCGAGGATGACATCGTGGAGGATGTGTACACTTAGAACTAGGGTGGCAGGAGAGTGTTAGTGACATGTGTGTGTGTATAGTGTCGTAATCTTATTATGGGGAAAAAAAAACTGTGTTGCAAAACCCCCAAAATGCCTCACCTCTCCCCCCCCCCCCCCCCCCCCCTCAAACATCCCCAAGTGGTTTTTTTTGCCCTGCCGGGAAAGTTTTTTCCCTGCCCGGAAAAGCGTATTCCAAAGTCGACCCCCAAGCGGATAGCGTGCATACGCTAGCGTATATACGATAAGCGTATATACGCTATAAGCGTATATTGCAACTTAGCCGCCAAGCCCACTAGCACATGGCAGCCACCACATGTACTCGTTCTGTTTGCAGTGCAACTGGCCCGTGGTACCCAGCACGCTAGCAACAGCACATGGTTGCGTGCCAGGTCATTGCAACGCTGCTGCTGATAACCTGCTCACTCACTAACTCTTCGGTGTATGCCCCTCTGCACTTTTTCTGCGCATGAATGGCATGGACTGTGCATGCATATGCATGGCATGGTGCATGCCGCATGCCGCATGCCGCATGGCGCATGACGCATGCCGCATGGCGCATGCATGATGGGGCGTGCAGATGGGCACAGTGACGGTGCATGTGGGGGAGGCAGTGAGGGCGGCCAAGAGAGGCAAGGCGGACTTCAAGACGGACAAGACGGCCAACGTGCACGTGGGCATCGGCAAGGTGCGTGCTGCACCCTCCGCCACTGCTGTCATGCCTGCGCTGCTCCTGGTTCTTGTCCGTGGCCTCGTTGTCCTCGTAGCCTCCTAGATCAGACTCCTCACCGTCTCATCCCATACTCCGTTCGTCCCCTTCCTCTCCCACCATCCCCCTCCACCCCTTGACCAGGTGAGCTTCCCGGACGAGGCCCTGGCAGAGAATGCAGCAGCGTTTGCAGCGGCTCTGCTGGCAGCCAAGCCCGTGGGGCTCAAGAAGAGTGAGTGCTGCTGCATGGCCGGGCAGGGCATGGCAGGGGCTGACAGGGGTTGGCAGGGCATGGCAGCAGTATGTTCACATGCGCCACTGCCAGGGCACACTCCACTGCAGTCACCACCAACTGGTCCTCTACTCTCACTGCACTCTGAATCATCACCGCTCTCAACTCCTCCCATCCCTGCCCCCACTCGTGGCGTCCTGTGTGTGTGTGTGACTGGTCGTCTGTGTGTGGGCATGAGTGCAGGTTCGCGCTTCTTTGGCTACTTCAGCACCTTCACGCTCTCCTCCACTGTGAGTCACACCTGCTGCACTCACCACCACCACCGCCCCCCGTCCCTCCCTCTCACCCCTCTCCCACTCCACCGTCTATGGCACATCGTATCGCTCACCACGCCCTCTTCCTCTCTCCCTTCGCGTATTTTTCTGATGGCGGCAAATGATGCGCCTTGGTGGTAAAGCGTGTGTTTCATGGGTTGTCCGGTCCTGTGTTGCACTGGCTGCATGCAGATGGGCAAGGGTGTGCGAGTCACTGTTCCATCAATAGCAGCAGCTGCTGACGGCTTTATCAAGTCCGGGGGAGTGTAGGCAGAATCATTGTGTTTTGTTCCAAGGGTTTGCGTCACATTGGTTGATGTATTTTTGTGTTGGCCCTCTGCCAAGCAAATGCAATTTCTTGTCCTAAGCTTATATGTAGGATCTGAAAGTATACATCTGCAACCTGGTGCACCTCTTCAGCTCTTTTACGGTATCTATCTTGACTGACATTAACGAGGATGTTTTCGGCCCCAACCACAAGCTCGTTGGGTTGGGTGGGGGGATTCATCTGTTCATCACTTCCCGCGCATCCTCGTCCCCGCTTGCCTGCCCTCGCCTTTCCCCCGCCATCCACCCAGCCATGTCAGGTCGTGAGCCGCGCCGTCAGCGCCGACCGCTCGACGACGAGGCTGTGCCGTTCCCCGACGACGACTCCGCGTCGCGCCGCGCCGACAGCGCTCCGCGCCCTCCGCTCACGCAGGCAGGCGAGCTGCAGGCGCTCGCCGTGGGCGCCGCCATGACCGTCGGCGCGCTGTGGCTCATGCGCTCCTTCGACCTCCTGTAGACCACCCTTCCATCCCGCGTTCGCATCTCCCGTCGCTCTCTGGGCGCTGTATCGTGCGCGTGTTTCTGTTCTCTAGGATCTCGTCTCTAGTGTGTAGCTCGCAGGGGCAGCAACATCGCCGTCCGACCGTTGTCACGACTCGGCGAAGCCATGCGCCTGCAGGGAAAATTCGCGTTCATCACGGGGGCGGCGCGCGGCATCGGCGCGGCGTGCGCGCGCAAGTTCGTGGCGGAGGGCGCAAGGGTGGCCATTGCTGACGTGTTGGAAGAGGAGGGGCGCCAGCTGGCTGCTGAGCTGGTTGCCGCTGATTCGCAAACGGCGGCACAGGCTGGGCGGAGTGGCGGGGCGGAGGGGAGTGCTTCCGCGGAAGGGGAGAAAGGGGATGGTGGGTGCGCGGAGGAAGGTGGGGAAGGGACACGGGGCGCGGGAGAGGGCAGCGGAGCAGAGAGCATACCGTGCGCGATCTTCGTGAGGTACTGCGGGAGGGGGGTTGACAGGGCGCGGAAGGGGGGCAACGGCGGAAATGAGTGCGGAACGGCCTTTGGCGGTGCTGCTTTGTGGAAAGCATGTGGCCGCAACTAGTAGATAGCACGCGTTGCTCCCGCGTCGATATCCCTCCGCGTCTTGCCCTCACATGCCGCATCCCTTTCCCTCTTCCTCCTCCCTTTCCTCCCCTTTCTCCTCCCGTTTCCCCATCAGGTGCGACGTGTGCGATCGCGATTCCATCGCATCTGCACTCGCCGAGGCGGTTGCGGCGCTGTCCCCCGGAGCGGGCGCGCTGCACGTGCTGGTCAACAACGCGGCGGTGCAGAGCTGCAAGAGCCTGCCCGACACCGCGCCGCGCGACTGGGACGCCGTCGTCGCCGCGTCGCTCTCGTCCGTCTTCCACGCGACGCAGCTCGCGCTGCCGTACCTGCGACGCGCGGAGCGAGGCGCCGCGGCCATCGTGAACGTGTCGTCGTCGTTCGCGCTAGTGGGGTCGGCGGGATACGCGGCGTACCACGCGGCGAAGGGTGGCGTGTCGTCGCTGACGCGCGCGGCGGCGCTGGGGCTGGTGGCGGAGGGCGTGCGCGTGAACGCCGTGTGCCCGGGCACCACGCTCACGCCGGGGCTGCACGAGGTGCGCGGGGGTGGGGGACGTGGGGGAGATGGGCTTGCATGGTGGGATTGATGCATGAGGGGTGTGTGGCGGTGCAGATGGTTGATAGTGGGGCGATGGTGGATGCCATGACAGCACACGCCATGCCATGCTCACTGCCGCCAACCGTTTTTTCCACTCTCCTCTCCTTCCCCCCGCGGCCCCCCGCGTCCCCTCACGGACCCCCACGCGCGGCCACGCCTCTCGTGCTCCAATGGGCAGAGCGTGGCGCAGCAGTGCCCGGACCCAGCAGACGCACAGCGCCTCATGGACTCCTTCCTCGCCAGGCAGCCGCTTGCCAGGTGCGCTCTACACTCCCCTCCCTCTCTGCACGCACCCCGCACTGCGTCTCGCATCACCTCCCAACCATCGCGCAGTGGACCGCTCGTTTTCTCCCCTCGCTCAATGCAGCGCCCTTCTCTTCCCCTCTCTTCCCCCTTCTCCCTTCCCTCACGCAAATCCCTGTTCCCCTCGCTTCTCCGGCGCAACCCCACCGTTGTGAGCGGGCGTGCCAGGTTTGGAAGGGCAGAGGAGGTGGCGAATGTGGTGGCGTTTGTGGCGAGCGAGGAGGCGAGCTTCATGGTGGGCGCCAACGTGGTCGTGGACGGTGGCTACACCATCGTATGATGCACCACACCACACGCACGCGGGGGTTGAAGAGGGGGGGAGGGGAGCTTGGGGCCGCTGCTGGTGGGGGAGAGTGCCGTGCCGAGGGTTTCACAGGGCGGAATGTGTGCAGGGCAGGAGCAGTGGGTGTGGGTGCAAGGAAGGGACATTTGGATGGAGTATGCTAGTTGGACTGCCATGGCATTCTTGTTGAGCCCTAGAGGCAGTTGGGTTGGTGGGGATGTGTGGGGCTAGTGTATGGGAGTGGAGTTTGTTGGAAACAAGTAACTTAAGCGCTTCTGTCCAGGGCCCACGTTATCAGCGCAAAACATCCTGATTACCCTGAATTCAGGATGCAGTTTTGAATTTACCCTGTCATTTCAGAATAGTGCCAATTTTCACCCTGAGGTCCCAGGATGTTTTTATATGCAAAGCCCTGAACTCTCAGGATGGCCGTAGTGTTCCCCCCTGTAGTGTCAGGATGAATATCGAGGCCAGCCCTGACGCGTTTTTTTTTTTGGGGGGGGGGGGGGGGGGGGGGGGTGGGTTTCGTCCCCGGGGACATTCGTCTCCGGTGATTTTTTTCCCCCGTATGTGTTTCCCGCCTTCGCACGATCTTTGAGAGTTCTGTTCCGATCCCCCGCAACGCACCAGCCAAGACAAACCCATCAGACTAGGGGGAACAGGTTGGGCAAGGCAACTCGTCGTGTGCCATGCATGCACTAGCTGAGTGTCTCTCTGAGCACTCCTCCATCCAACCCAACCAACACTCTTCCAGTGTTGCTGTTTGAGTAGCACAAGTGAAGCTCGGCTGGCTCAGTCGTACTAGTCATGGCCAACGAGAGCGATGGCGCGATGCCAGTATCACGAGGTCTTACCGGCTTAGATTTCTTGCGTCCTGTGTCAGAACTTTGTATAGCTTATACTGTTGTGTAGGCTATAGTGGGGTATCCCATAGGGGGTACAACCCAATTAGGGTTTCCTATTTGTACTCACTTCACTCATAGTTCATTCATTCTCGTTCAATTCTTCTCATGGTATCGAGCAGGTTCCCCTGTGGGAACTGCGCCTAGGGCCCACCACTCGAAATTTTTTTTTCCTGCCCGAAGCGCACTCATCCCGAGTCGCGCCTCGGGCCACTCTTTCCCCGAGCCGCCCTAGCGGCCGGCCTTACCAGCGCGGCCCCGCCGCCCTGCTCTCGCGGCCCTCGCCGCCCTTGCTCACGCGGCTCCGCCGCCCCTGATCTCGCGGCCCCGCCGCCCTGCTCTCGCGGCCCTCGCCGCCCTTACTCACGCGACGCCGCTGCCCCTACACGCGGCCCCGTCGCCCCTGCTCTCGCGGCCTCGCCGCCCCTGCTTTCGCGACCCTCGCCGCCCCTGATCACGCGGCCTCGCCGCCCCTTCTCTCACGGCCCCGCCGCCACTTACTCTCGCGGCCCCGCCGCCCCTGCTCCAGCGGCCCCGCCGACCCTGATCTCGCGGCCCTCGCCGCCCCTGATCTCGCGGCCCCGCCGCCCCAGCACTCGCGGCCCCGCCGACCCTGATCTCGCGGCCCTCGCCGCCCCTGATCTCGCGGCCCCGCCGCCCCAGCACTCGCGGCCCCGCCGCCCCTGATCTCGCGGCCCCGCCGCCCCAGCGCTCACGGCCCCGCTGCCCCTGATCTCGCGGCCCCGCCGCCCCAGCGCTCACGGCCCAGCCGCCCCTGATCACGCGACACCGCCGCCCCTACTCACGGCCCCGTCGCCCCTGCTCTCACGGCCCCGCCGCCCGGTACCGGAGCAGCCGAGCCGCCCCGCCCGAGCCGCCCTGCACCCGAGCCGCCCGGGAGCCGAGCCGCCCAGCAGCAGCCGAGCCGCCCAGCAGCAGCCGAGCCGCCCAGCAGCAGCCGAGCCGCCCAGCAGCAGCCGAGCCGCCCAGCAGCAGCTGAGCCGCCCAGGAGCCGCCGAGCCGCCCGACCTGCCCTGCCCGGTGAGCACCGTCCCGCTGTCACTGCGTGCCCTTTCCCTACTGCTTGCACTGCTTCGCTGTCGTAGTCATGGCTACCCCTAGTGTCCTAGCTTTTGACGCTGAGGGTCGGGCCATTGACTTTGAGGTCTGGGTCGACGACCTGCAACTGTTCTTACAGTGCGATAGGGCGGACGGTCTCTCTCTCTTTGACCTCACTTCTGGCGCCTCTCCTGCCCCTGCTGCTGATGCTGACCCCACTGTTCGCTCTCAGTGGGCCACCCGCGATGCTGCTGCACGTCTTGCTGTGCGTCGCCACCTCCCTACCACTGAGCGCGCGCACTTTAGTCAGTACAAGAGTGCTCAGACCTTGTACGACGCTGTAGTTGCGCGCTACTCTTCCCCTGCCACTGCTGCACTGAGCCGTCTCATGCTACCGTACCTCTTTCCTGACCTCACTGCCTTTCCCACTGTCGCTGACCTCATTACGCACCTCCGCACTAGTGACACTCGCTACCGCGCCGCCCTTCCTGCTGAGTTCTGCGCCAATAACCCCCCCCCCCATGTACATCACTCTCTACTACGTAGTCGCACGCCTCCCTGACTCCCTTCGCATAGTCAGGGACCACTTTCTCTCAGTCTGTCCCACCACCCTCACTGTCGACCTCCTCGAGAAGGCCCTCCTAGCGGCGGAGAAGAGCATCGTCGCTGTAGGAGCCTCTCGTGGTGACCCTTGCACCCCCATCTTTGAGGGGTGCTCTCCTTCCCCCCTGCTGCCCTCTGTTGCCTCTGCTGCTGCTGCCGACCTGCTTGGTCTTGAGTCGGTCGGCGCGGCGTCTGCCCCTAGCGGGAGACGCCGCTCTGGCAAGGGCAAGGGGGGCAAGGGCGCGGGTGGAGCTGGAGGGGGCGGTGGCGGTGGCGGTGGAGGCGGTGGAGGGAGTGGGGGTGGCGGTGGGAGTAGTGGCGGAGGCGGTGGTGGTGGTGGCAGCGGCGGAGGAGGCGGCGGTGGTGGCGGCAGCGGTGGGAGTGGTGGCGGCGGTGGAGGCGGAGGAGGAGGAGGTGTTGGCGGAGGAGGTGGAGCTGGTCGGGGTGGTGCCCCGCAGCGGAGCGGCGCTGGTACTGGTCAGCGCCAGCAGCAGCAGCAGCCGCAGCAGCGTTCGCGGGACATCCCTCCGCCCCAGCAGCTCCGTGAGTGGTACACTCGGCGTCAGAGGGGTGGGGGTACTGGTCCGTGCACCTGCGTCCATCGTTCCGGCGACCGCGCGGGTGAGCAGTGTGGGGGTGCCCACCCCACCCAGCGCTGCTTTGGCCGCCTGACGGACGCTTGGCGTCAGCAGTTCCCCGAGGCTAGTGAGATTCCCCGCTGGGATGAGCTGCCTAGGGCTGGTGTAGCTATCTTTGATCTTGACTTTGATGCTATCCTTGCTGCTATGTATGCTGTGACTATTAGTGAGGAGGGTGACTGTTACCGGTGTTTCCCGCCCGACCCGGGCATTGGTGCTGCTGCGCTAGGTGCTTGTGAGACTGCTGCTCTAGGTGCCAGTGTGTCTGCACGCTCAGGTACTGGTGAGGCTGCGCTTTCAGGTACTGCGTCGGCTTCGTCCTCCCTCTCGTTCACGCTTGACTCAGGAGCTTCCCGCTCCTTCTTTCGAGACCGCACCACACTCACGCCGCTTGGTCAGCCAGTTGCAGTCTCCCTGGCTGACCCCTCTGGGGGTCCTGTCCTCTCTCACTTTTCCACTGTCCTCCCGTGTCCGGCTGCCCCCTCGGGCACCCTGTCTGGTCTGTACCTTCCCTCGTTCTCGACGAACTTGGTGAGTGGTGCGGACCTGCAGGATGCGGGGGTTCACCAGTTCACTCCTGCGAGTCAGCGGGTGACCCACTGCACGGACGCACGCACAGGCCGACACTTGGCCACGTTCTCGCGTCGGCCGGGGTCGAGCCTCTACACCCTGACCACTGAGTCTCCTCCTGTCCCTGCGTCTAGTCAGGTAGCTGCGTCAGGTCAGGTGTTTGCTGCTGCGTCCCGGTCTGGCCCTGAGTCTGCCCCCTGTTCGTGTCGCCTCCTGTCTCACGAGACTCTCCTGTGGCACCACCGTCTTGGTCACCCCTCCTTGCCCAGTCTTCGGGGCATGGCTTCCCGTGTCCTTGTCTCAGGTCTTCCCCGGTCTCTCCCTCCCCTTCCTTCGGGACCAGGACCTTCCTGTGTACCCTGTGTCGAGGGGCGCCTCAGGGCTGCTCCTCACTCCTCCCAGTTTCCCCCGACAGAGGCTCCTCTGCAGACACTTCACATGGACGTGTGGGGCCCGGCCCGCGTCCGTGGGCAGGGTCACGAGCGCTACTTCCTGTTGGTGGTTGACGACTACTCGCGTTACACCACAGTCTTCCCCTTGCGCAGCAAGGGTGATGTCACTGCGGTGCTGATCGACTGGATCCGCGAGGCTCGTCTCCAGCTCAGGAGGAGCTTCGGCTCGGACTTTCCTGTTCTGCGTCTGCTCTCTGACCGAGGTGGGGAGTTCTCCTCTCGCCTTCTACGAGACTACTGTCGTGCACGAGGGATCCGCCAGACCTTTACGCTTCCGGACTCTCCACAGCAAAATGGGATTGCTGAGCGCCGCATTGGCATGGTCATGGATGTCGCTCGTACGTCCATGATGCATGCGGCTGCCCCCCATTTTCTGTGGCCGTTTGCGGTTCGGTACGCGGCGCATCAGCTCAACCTTCACCCCAGGGTCTCTCGGCCCGCGATGTCCCCAGTCTTGCTGTGGACGGGGAAGGTCGGCGATGCGTCTGCGTTCCGAGTCTGGGGATCTCGGGCGTTTGTCCGCGACTTGTCTGCGGACAAGCTGTCCCCTCGTGCTGCTCCCTGTGTCTTCCTTGGCTTCCCCCCTGACGCTCCAGGGTGGCAGATCTACCACCCCTCCTCTCGTCGTGTTCTGTCCTCCCAGGACGTCACGTTCGACGAGTCAGTCCCCTTCTACCGCCTCTTCCCCTACCGCACTCCTTCCCTCCCCCCGCCACCGGACTTCCTTGTGTCGGTTCCCCCCCCGGTAGACCCCCTCCCCTCTCAGGTTCCTG